CAGGGGCTGACCATCATTCGTAGAGGACAAAACTGTAAGACATGCGGGCACCGCGACATATTGCTGGTTTCACCGGCAGGTCGCGGTTACCATGGGTCCCGGACCAATTTCGTTCAGTGATACAAGCGGAATCTCGGAAAATTACACCCGTTCTCACATCCTCCGGCATTGATATTTTCGGAGAAATATCAGCTTCCATCCCATGCAGTGTATGTCAACAAAGAAACCTCAACTCTACCGCAGGAAAAAAGGGTGTCCTCAGCCAGCCAGATCTACGGGTAGTCTTCTGTGAAGTGACCGGGTGACCAATTTATTCTTCGTTAGAGATTTGATTGGGTGACGATTCAATGTTATGCTTAGTGTTCGGTAAGAAATCAAAAACGTCGCAATGGTTTCCAAATTCTTCATCGCATTGCCATAGAAATTAGCCATAGAGTGCTTGATGTACAATTTGTTAGCGATATTATTGAACATTGAGGCCAATATCGTATATATATGCAAATATTCAATATTCCTTTCATTGTATTTCTGTTACCAATAAAGAATTAGTTTATCAGCTCACGTATGAGATCTTACTAGTCATTTACTCTACATATTTCGGTTACGTCTAATCGGTTGAGAGGCACAGTTCAAGAAGGGAGTAGGGCGGAGTTAGACCCATGCCTCCCATATTGACGCATCCCTCCTTCCTAAGAGAAGGTATGCATCATGGAATGGCGCAGTAGTTGTCTGACTTCGCCCAGCAAGGACTGTGCCTTTGAGCAGGGAAATTGGTGGGCGTGCAAATGAACTAACAAAAGTAACCACTCGTTTAACGCGGGAGCGGTTATGGTGAATACTAGAGAGACTATTCTGAAGTTGGCAAGCGAAAACGTTCGAACTAGTCCTGTGCCAGTACTGCGCCTGGTACCTCACCGCTTAGATGGAGCGTTGTTTTGATGACTGAATGATTCCTACAACTCTTCATCCCAGAAAATTTCGTTTCAGAAACTTGCAGGCAGGCTAACCCTTGCGAAAATGGTGGAACTTGTTCGGTTAAAGAGAAGCGGGTTCACTGTGAATTCGGCGCCACAGGATTGCACAGGAGTAAACTGTGGCAGGTGAACAGTACTAACTGATTAAGAACTAGTATGGGCGCAGACAGAGTTCCCTTCGTGAAATCAGTATTTTCAGATTGAAGTTGAAAAAAGGAAAATGCGCTTTAAAGTAATATTGAATGTGACAGCTACATATCCTGTGAAGTGTAGTGTAGAAAACAGCGTTCAAAATCCGTGTTTTTTTTTATTGTTTTTTTTTTTTTTTTTTATCCTTTTCTTCTAGACTAGATCGTTGTTGTCTTCTGAGTAACAAGTACAGTAATATGAATCGGGCCTTTCAAGGGGGCCAGTATCGATGTCTGCGTTCTCATAGATTAGCCGAGCACCAATTAGCCCAGCTGAGAGAGATGAAAAGCCCGGATAGTCTGGGCGTGAGTCGATCCACGATGTAGCCCGTGGAACTTGCTTCGTGGTAAACAGCGCTATTGGGTTATGCGAGTAAAGCGCAGAAATAAGTCTTATATACAACGTTTGATCAAAATTTTCCTACTGAAGAAGTATGCTTTAAAAACTCTGCTTCAGAGCACGATATGTGTATCAATCATTCTTGTGCAAATAACGCCACCTGTGTTAATGGACCAAACAAAACCTACAAATGTGAGTGCCAGAAGAACACAGTCGGCACCTACTGTCAATGTAAGTTTATAGAATTAATTAGTACAGAAGAAGTAAGTACACGTGAAATATTACAGCGTCGTCAGGAAAATCATATGAGGGCGGGGTTGCTTCTTGGTCGGTGTGGAGGGAGATGTATATATCCAGCCTTAGAGGAGGTTTTCCTGAGTAGCGAAAAAAATTTTCCGGTTTTAATTCTTCCCGTTTCAAGTGCGCTATCTGGTCATGATTCCTGCAAACCTTCGGATGTATAAAGGGGTGTGAATCGATGAGCAGCGGATCCCAGATTTCATCTTCGGTAAACAATGCCCTACCTGCGTTCCAATTCGTTCAGCACTTCGTAAATTCAAGGAACCTTAGTGGAGTTAAGAACATAAGTGCATGCTCTTGTACTTGCACAGGCCTACTGAAGCACTTCAACTAAGATAGAAACGCTTTGATGGAGTTACTCGGGGATGAATATTACTTTTTCAGTCGCTTGTGAACCCAATCAATGCTCGGGTAATGGAACATGTATAATGCGAATTGATGGTAGGGTCGGATGCAAATGCGATCCAGGAATTACAGGATTACGGTGCGAAAGAGGTCTGATCTGATTTCCTGAGAAATAAATTCGTTTCCATATAACATCACATACCATGCCATCACGTAGATTACGCCATCTCATTCTATCCCAGTCGGTTTCTGGCCTTGCTTTTTTGACCCCTCATAGAAATGGGTGTCAAGTTCCTGGACATGAGTTCGCTGGTTGTGAATGTCAAACGAAATAAGATGAGGCTCATGTTCATCTACAATACTTCTCCTTAATGTTGTACCGCCATGCAAACTCCATTCGGTATGGATGATCGTAAATTTGTACGATGCATCATCTTTATGCGTGTTGGTCAGCGTCAGCGTCGCGTAGATTTTGGCACAGCCATAGACCTTTTCCCACCACTCTGGGAACGCTCAAAGCCGCAAGCATCGTTGGAAAGTGGGCTGATGCCGCGCCAAAATCCGTACGGCGACTGAATTCAGCCATGACAACTCTACCTCAACGCACAGTTAGTCCTTCGAAAAGCACCCACGGAAAGAGGCTACTTGAAGATCACAGAACCCACTGTGTCACAATGAATGCTCATGAAAACTCTTTCAGAAATCGATGAATGCCGACGGAGTATGTGCCAGAACTCGTTGAAATGCATCGATAAATTCAATGATTACGAATGCGTATGCATGGACGGCTGGATTGGGAAAAATTGCGATCGTGGGTTTCCTTATTGTGACTTTAAGACTCACCACAGCTCAGATCTACTTGGAAAGAGTTTTCAAGCAAATATGCAGCTTTGGAAGGTGAAGGAGGACTCCTTACTAATTATGCATAGCTTATAATCTCCTTCAGGCCCTTGTCAAGACATTTATGGTTCGTGCAAAATGTGGAAACGTGAAGGACAATGTGAGGTAGGAACTCAGATAGGATACGTTCGCTAATTTTTTCGGAACACCTCGGTTCAAATGTCTTTCGCAGCTCCGTCCCAGAAAGCCTTCCCCTTTGTTGCCGTGAGCATAATTTACTTTACATTACACACATTATACTTTGTTTATTCACATTATTTACACAACTTTTTCACTGTTCCACTATACCACACATATATAGCGTCATCCGGACAGTTGACTGGGCGGTCAAAGGGTCGCAGACGCGGCTGCGGCGCGTCACTGCGGCGATTACCTGCGGCGCGTCACGACCGATCAGCGATCTAAGCTGCTTCAAGTCTGGTTTAGCCATTTCTCCCCATGAATTTACACTGTTTTCGGCTGCTTTCTCAAGATTATTTGTTCTTGTTTTTACAGAGGTAAATTATGATTACAGACTGATAACTGACAGAAACAGACAATTGAACGAGTACCATGAAGAAAAAAACTCCCCCCGTCGGCAAAAACACTGCTATTGCAAAACCCAAAAAAAAAGAGTCACATTTTACACCTCCTCAAGAGCAATAAAAACAAACAACACGAAAAAAAAAATGGAAAATACAGTGAAAATCAGGGAGAAAATGGCCAAATTAGGCCGGAAACAGCTGATCGCCGCGGTGGTGACGCGCTGCAGCCGCGTCGCGACGCAGGCGATCATCTGAATGGCCGGCCTTTCATATAGTGGTATACCTGGCCCCGACGATCCCGCCCACTTATTAGCGGATTTATTGAACATTTCGAGGCCTGTATATTTTTTTTAGTGTTTATGCAAAAAGGTTTATACAAAAATTGCAAATTAGCACAACTACGTCAGACAAACACAAACAGACAAATTAAAAAAAATACTGTCAATTAACTTTTAATTTCCAAATAATAAGCAGATAATAAGAATACTTCACTCTACAGTAACTGAAAAACTATCGTGGTTTTCAGATACCCCCTGAAGAAACTGCATTTTTCGTGCTAAACTGTCCGGAATCGTGCGAGAAGTGCGTACCTCGGAATGACACAAGTTTGTTTCTGGGCCCGGCGATTTCTTTTTCCCTGTTTCAAAACTAGATTTCACTATTTCCCGCAAAAAGATTCACAGTTGATAAAATTACAGTTACGTCATTTCATCGGCTGCCACCAATATTATTACCGTTGGCATGGATTTTGGGCGAATGGCGCACAAAAGTGGAAGGCAAGTTGTGT